TTTTGTTTGGCGTGGGGGAGGGGAGGGGGGGTAAGTTACGGCTGGTGCGGCGATGCGGGGGTGTTGGTGTTGGCTGGAGTGAGGCTGGCGCTTTGATGGCAGGGGCACGGCAGTGTGCGCGCGATCCACCCCAGCAGGGCGCTGCCCGCGATGCACTTGATCGGAGCGGGGCAGCCACGTCGACGATGCGCGCCCCGCGGCTGCTGGTTGCGTGCCATGTGCGCGCCTTGCCGCCGGCCAGGCCGCGCCGCCTGGTGGCCGCAGCCGGGCTGCTGAGGTTCGCTGGGAGCTGTGAGTGCGTGCTGGGCTCGCAAGCTCCCCCCCCCTAACCAAGTCCCCCTCCCCCCCGCTGCAGCCACCTGCTGGGGCAGGAGGAGGCGCGTGCGCGCGCGCGCCCACCTGCAAACGCGCCCATGGCAAACGGCAGCACGTTGGACTGGCGGCGGGTGTAGCCGCCGCCGGAGGCAAACGTGGGGCCGTAGGACGAGGTGCCGGTCGGCTTGGGCGCGGCGGCGCCGTAGGGGCGGACAGGCATGGTCGGCAGGGCACTGCCGGCAGAGGGCCGGTAGGTGCCAGCTGCAGGGTAGCCGCTGGGGCTGCCAAACATGGATCCCGAGGGGCGTGCTGCGCTGCCGCTGGTGTAGCTGCTGCCGTAGTTGCTGCCAAAGCCAAACTGCGCAGCGGCGGGCGCGGCGGCGAGCGTCACGACGCCGAGCAGCGCCAGGAGCGGCCGCGCAGCGGCCAGGCCGGCGGGAAACATTCGTGCAGCTGTCTTCTAAGGAGTACGATTGGCATGCGTTACTGTTGCTGTCCCCGCGGGGAGTCGTGTTGTGCGAAGCGAGTGATTTCGCGGACACCCGCGGCCGAGTAGTTCATCAGGCATAGGCAAGCATATTGAATTTTGGTTCGGCCCCATAGACGGTGGCGAATCTCGCAACTGCCAAGGTCACCCAGGGTCACTGAGTCACCCGGCGACTTGTTGCTGGGTGAGAGGATGCACCATGTTGCAGAATATGCACTTTCAGCAGTGTCAAGCAGTTCAAGGGGTGCTAGTGGAACGGGTGTGGGCGGGATACCCCACTCGCTTTGAGCACACTGCTGCTTGCCACAGCTGCCGTGTGCGGTGTCTACGGTGGTGACCACTCTGGGCGCCCCACAGTGATCAAACCTCGTCAATGCATGCATGCTACGACGGAATTTCGTAGAGTTCAAGGTGCCTGGATTGTTTTGTCACACGCGCTGTTCGTCTAATTCAAGGTGCCTGAATTGGCTTGTCACACGCGCTGCTCATTGCACGGCGTTGCTGGTGCGTGCAGCGCGGCTGGGCCAAATGTGCTGTACATGACACCTTGGCGTGGCGTACTGCTTGTGACAGGGATGATCAGAAGCGATGCCGCACGCCAACAGCCCATGCAGGACAGGAAGTGTTTAAAGGCCTGTTTACTGGTCTGTGCAAAAGCCTGCAAGCCTCTGCCCAGCTCCCCGGCTATCCGGCGCCAGCCGCTTGCCACCTGGCGTCGACCGACCTGTCAGCGGCGACGCGCGCCGCGCCAGCTAAGGTGGATCCGGCTGCTGCTTGCCATGCACGCCAGCATGCTTGCTTCAAAGGGTACACGTGGCATAGCCTGTGAGGGCACGCATGTGGGAGGCTGACAGGCAAGCATGGAGTGCTGACAACCGCTGCGCCCACCCACCCTTGAGGCAGCTGCGCCTGCAACGCAAGCCCTGTGCAGGAATGGGGCTCATGTGATATTTTGTGTCTCGCAGTTACCTGTTTCTGTAGCCATCCAGGTATGCGTGTAAGCGGCCCTCTGATGCAGCAAGGGCTGGTTGGCTTGCAGAGAGCGCCGGCCCTCGCGGCTCGCATCCTCGCATCTGTTGATCAGCAGTCTGAAACACAGCCACACAGACATATACTTCAGCACTTCAATGTTGCAACTGATATAATACATTTAAAGCTATTTGAGCCAAAGATGACAACACCATTAGAAACCCTTATTTGGCCTGCCGATCGTCGCCGGCCCTTGTCCCGCATGCTTGCAGATGCAAGCTGATCATGCCGTTGCCAGTACAGGACAGCTGGGGAGGTCTCGCACCTTGCACGCAGCAACAGCCGTCCACATGCGCAACCAGATGAGATGGGAGATGTCAGTTCTAGCACTTGCTGACCTTTGCATCTGCTGCCGCCTGCCCCTTTGTTGCGCCTGCTCACCTCCCCCTTGACCCTTGTTGCAAGCACCGTGCCGAGCCTGCCATCGCTGCGGCTGCGGTTACACAGCGCATGTGATTGCCGCCACCTGGTAGGCGCTATGTGTGGAGTCGAAACCTTATGTGGGTGGCCATCCTCCCAGCGATGCAAATCGTTGTGCAGGGGTGCAAACCAAAGCTCACAATTCCGTGCACGACGCTCCCAGGCTTTGTGGGTGCCCAGATGCAGCATAGCTGCTCAACAAGTAGCAGCAACCACGGCAGAGTGTTGAGCCGGCCAACGCTTGCAGGGCCACAACAGTCCTCGCAGGCGGTATCTTCGAATGTGGCCAAAACCCAGGCAAATGTGCCAGTATCAGTCTGGTCGCTGGCAGCCGCACGCGTGACACGTGGCGCACCCAGCTTCCGGGCATCAAGTGTGGTAAAAGGGGTTGTGTCAGTCTCGGTCTTTGAAGGTCATGCCATCCCCTTCTAGAGAAGCTTGCCTGCTGCTGAGCAACAGCAAGTGTGCAGGAATTCAATAAAGTGCACGAATGTTGGAAAAGCATAAGCCTGGGCCGTACGCAGCGTCGTGATAAGTGCCCTGCTGCCCACAGGTGGGGCTTGTGGCGAAACCTCCCTTCCCAGAAAATGATGCCCTGGTGATGCTTGCGAATTGTCAGGGTACGCAGGATGCGGCCAGCGGCGGGGGAAGTCAGGGCAGTGCATGCGCGGTACAAGCACGGGGCAGTGCATGTGCGCCACTGAAGCAGCGAGCGTGCGGTGTTGGCACCGCCTGACGAAGGATGAGTCGTGGGTGTGGCACTCCGTGCAGGGTGCGCGTGCGGGGCAGGCCACTGCAACCTCCCGTTATATGTGTGAGACAGAAAGAGTGTGTGGTGCTGAGCAGCCTTTGTATATGAATATAGCAAGCGCTGGCGGAGCTGCTTTATTGGGGCACAGCAGCGCGTGCGCTGCAGCTGGTACCTTAGTTGTACTTGACCGTGAATCTGTGCACCTTGTTGACATCCTCGAAAGCGTCGAAGATCTCCGCAACCTGGCAGGTGCTGTCGACAAGGACGAGGGCGCTGCTGGAAGGGATGGCTTGCGAGATCTCCACCCCCGTGACGGTGATGACGGCGCTTTTCCCGACGTCGATCGGCGTCGTGACCGCCGCGGCCGAGGTCCAGCCCGGGCCCGCCGAGGTGGTGCAGTTGACGGGCCCCCGGAAGAGGCCCGCGTCCCGAATAATCGAAACGACGCCGGGCGCGCCAGGCGCGAGGCCAACATTCTTGACGGTGATGCGGAAGTCGCGGAGCAGGGCGGCCCCTTGGGTGTACCGCTTGGCCACCTTGCCGGTGACAAGGAACTCTGGCAGGGGCTGGGCGAGAACTTTGTAGTCGAGGGTGATCTTGTTGTCAATGACTTCGTCGGCCTCGGCCGTGGCGCAGTCTGTGCGTGACGGTTTTGGCATCAAGGACCCAGGTTGAGCGTCACGGGCACTATGTTTTGCATCAAGCAGCCCGTGCGGACAGGCGAGCTGCCCATGCACGTTGATGGTGAGGTGAGCGCCGCGATTTGTGAGGGACGTAGTTTGGGCCAGGCCTCGGCCTGTTGGCCATGGCGGACCACCTGCTATCTTCACAACTGCACACGTCCCGCATACTGGCCGGCGTCAGTCGTTGCCCCGTCCCAACAACAGGCGCGTTGCGTTTATGCCCCACTAACTCAGTGGCACCGCCCGCACGCCCGTCATCTGCACCGCACCCACAAACCCGCTTCCGCCCAGCCAGGCATGCGTGCGGCAGCCCCCTGATCCAGGGCTCCGCTCCTTGACGCACTTGCACACACCCACCTCCATCCACAAAGCCCACAAGGGTCTTCTTGCCCGGCGTGGCTGGGGCTGGGATGCCCTTGATAGTGAACGCTTTGAACTTGCCAAGCGGGGCAAGCGTGTCGCCCTTGACCGTCGTGGAGAGCTCCGCTGTGGCGTTGCAAGAGGGGACAAAGGGGGTGCCAAAGGGCACAGACCAGAACTTGATGGTGCCGATTTTGCTGGGCAGGGTGCCCTGGTTTGATACGCTAATCTTGACGCCAAACGTCTTGGACGCCACGGCCGCGCTCCAGAAGGTTCCCTCGTACCTGCGTGCGCGGAGCATGCGCGCGCCGCGAGGGCGGTTTGTTCAAAATGCTGGTTGGGGCCCTGCAGCGGCGAGTATCGCTGCCTGGCTCTTGCTTGCCAGAGGTCACTTGTTGAAAACAAGTATTCCTAGGCACCCGCAACCGCAATACACACGCCGCCATGCGTGTGCACTTGAGGGACACTGGTGACACTGCAGGTTTAGCAAGCAATTGCAGCACGCCAGCTGGCGGCTGTGCTGCAACCAACAAATTTACCGCACCTGCCATTCTTGGCCCATGCAATGCTGTCGAAGCTCAGGTCGGCAATCGGCGCGGGGGTGGTGGTGTACACGGCGCTCGCCTGCGCAAAAGGGCGGCGTGCGTGCGCGGCAGAGAACACATTGGCGAGCGTGTGTGTGTGTGTGTGTGTGTGTGTGTGGTGAATGGGAAGAGTGCTGTGTAATGACCTCGTGATGTTGACGGCCCCGGGGGGGGGGGGGCTGGTGATCTCTGATCAAGGCCTTGATCAGCAGGTGCGGTGAGATAAGGTGAAGTGAGGTGAGGTGACCGGCCGTGTGCAGGCCGTCCGCTCCCCTCAAACGCCAGCGCCCCACCACAGCACGCAGCATGAGCCGCTGCGGCCACTGACAGAGCGCGCGCCCGGGCTGCTGGCTGCCTGGCGGTGGCCGCCGCTCTCCTGGCCGCGCTGCTGATTCGTGTAAGTGTGTGTAAGGGGGTGGGAGCGGGCCACGCATTCAATCCCCCCTGGAGGTCCCAGATACAAGGCGAAGCTGCAATCGCTTGGTCAGTATGATCTTGACCTGATAGCGCTTCGTGCCGTCGGTGTTGTCATCTTGGAAGCACGTGCTGTCGATCATGACGCGCAGCACGCGCGGCCCCGCAACTTGAGGCGCCTTGATCGCTTTGACGACGAGCGCTTTGAGGCCGCCGGCCTTGATGCGGGGTAGGCGCAGCTTGATGTCGCCGGTGGGGCCAGAGCCGGGCGTGCAGTTCTGCAGCACGGGCTGGTCTGCCCACACCTGCAGGCGCGCCCAGGAGCGCGCGGCGGGGGCGGCAGGGAGGTGATGGCGTGGGGGGCGTTCGCTGCGGTGGCGCGTGTGAGGTGCAATTATATTGAGTCATGGCTGCTCTGCATCAGGCTGCTGAATCGCCACCCCGCGCCCGGCGTCCGCTGCGTTCAGGCCAGCGCCCATTCTGCACGGCAGTGACACCTGTGGCCCGCAAGCCCGCCGGTGCAGCAGCTGCGCGCCGCAGCTGCGCTGGCATGCTGGTAGGTGCGCATGACGCGGGGCCAGTGATCTTGAAGCGCAAGCGCTGCATCCCCCACATATTTATGGGCGCCGCATGCGCCCACGGCCACGCCGTCCGCGCCGAGACCCGTGCATATGCACGCGTCTGCATGCGGATGCGCATGCATGCGGCCGCGCTGCCTGGCAAACACGCACAGCCCGCTGCGACCCCGTGCTCCTCCCCTCCACCTGCGTTTCAAGGACAGGCGACCTGTCGAACTCGCTGGTGACGTCAAAGGAGGCCGTGAAGGTGCCCCCCGCGAGGGGGAAGCGGGGCGTGATTCTTGCGATCTTCACAGACAGCTCTGCCTCCTCCGAATAGTCGGAAAATGCATCAGCCGGCGCCGGCGCGGCGGCCAGCAGGACCAGGAGCAGCAGCAGCAATGCCGGCCCGCAGGTCCCTGGCATGAAATCAGATCCGCCTGCCGCCATAGCTCGCTGCGTGCACGGTCGCTCCTGGTGATGGGGCATGGGGGAGAGTGAGTATGTGGGCAACGTGGCGGACGCATCTACATGACGGCTGTGGTGGCGGTGGGCGAACAAATGCCACGATTCTGTTGATTATATTGCTAAACTCAGCCCGTGATGCTGGCTTGTGTGCCTGCCTAGTCGTCATACTCCCTGCGTGATCAAGTGGCGGCAATGCTGCCACCAAAGCCGCGGCTGCAACGCTTTGTTGAGGTGCACAAAGATTATGGTGTGGATTGACCTTAGTAAATCGATTCCACCTCTCGCTCACCGAGGCGGTGCTTGGCAACCCTGCCAGAATCAGACGATTGTTGAAGGCGTCCCAGCTTCCGGGAACGCAGTGCTTAGGATTCTTACTGTCAAATTTGTGTTTAAAGTGTCGACGCTGCGATCAAAGCTGCAGTGCAGCGGAGCCACCCCGCTGCAGCACCGTCACTCCATGGGCACCCCTCTCGTGGCCTGGCCACCCCGCAGGCCCGGACTTGCCATCTGCAGTGTCCTTGTGGTGCCGCGAAGGCGGTGCAGGTGGGCCTGCTTGTGCATAACGCGCACTAGCTTACGCTGTGTAAGGTTACGGGCAGGGATACCCCATTCGTTTTGTGCGCTCTGCTGCTTGCCGCCCACTTGGCTCCCAGGTGAGACGGTGACGGCCGACTACGACTCCAAGGTAGTTGGGGATACTTCTATTACTCTCCACTAAATGCTTCCCCTTGCCCATGGTCCAGCCGACTGGCGCTGCACCTCCATTCACTTGCTGCGACCAAGGGGGGGGGGTGGCTGGTGACCGACCCTACCTGCAGGGCAGCCGCCTGTCCTGCTTTGAGGCTGGCCGTGCGCTGCTTGCCCAAACGCCGTCAACGTGATTCAATCATTTAGTCTGGGTGATGGTGTTTCTCGCGTGCTTGTATGTGCTCGGTGCAGCTACCTACTGATGCGTCTTGCTCCTGCTGCTGTGCATGACGCTAGTGCGTGTGTGAGCTGCATCCGTCCCGCACGCGGGGCCAATTACGACCCAAGGACGTCCCACGTACTGTACAGTCTGGTGCTGGTGACTGTTGTTGGACCACTCCTGTGCCCATCTATCACGCCGCTGCAGGACAACACACGACACTTGAGTAGGGCGCACCATACGCCATTCTGGTTGGGTGCTGCCGGGCGTTGATTGTGGGCAGGCAAGACGTTGTGCCAACAGGAGGAAGACCGTGCTTACGATCAGGGTGCCGCATCAGTTGGCCGTGGCATCACGTGGTAGTCGAGCTCACCTCGGGCGACATCTCCGCCGCCGTAGACGCCGCCTGTCGCTACTGTCGCTGCTGCTACTGGTGCCGTCGCTGCTGCTGCTACTGCTGCTGCTCCTGCTGCTGCTGCTGCTGCTGCTGCTGCTGCTGCTGCCGCCGCCGCCGCCGCCGCCGCTGCTGCTGCTGCTGCTGCTGCCGTCGCTGCTGCTGCTCCTGCTACGGCGGCGGGGGCCTGCAGTTGAGGGAGAGTCCGACACAGGCTGCAGAAGTCCTCCACGCTTAGGTCATTGTGCCGCTGCTTGTGCGCTGTCCAACCCCCATTCTTCAAGGAGGCCGAGGGTGTGCTCGGCTGCTGTAGCCCTGCTACAGCATCTAAACTTATGGGGGCATAATCTGTTGTGGTTTTGATGCCAGGGCTCCCAATGCATCCGTCCGGGCGTCGGCGCTCGGGCGGTCGTCGTGGGAACAAACCCAGCACGCAGGGGCAGGTCAGTCAGCACGCGGAGCCCGCACCAACCTTGCACTCATGTATGTGCAATTTCCAACCGTCGTGATCAGGTGTTGAGAGCATTTGACCTGACGATGCCACCTTGCATGGGGGCGAATCAGCCTTGGCACGCCCAACGCGCAGCCCACACAATGACGCTGCCAGCTGCATCACGAGCTGGCGCAGGTGGATGGTGAAGCGTACAGGGCCACGAGGCGCAGTGATAAGAAGCGTCAAAGCTCGCATGCTTGCTTATTGTGCTACTTACAGCCTCTGACAAACTCCAAAAGCTCGTTAGTACCCGAGTGACACTGGGTTACATGCCGCGCGACGCCCTAAATGGCCGTGCTTTGCGCCTTCAAGCATATCTGTATTTTATTTTTTTTGCGCGAATCCTCGCGAATTGCAGCGAACGCTATGCAGCTGTCACGGCCCATGCCCTCGCCGCTCCGGCGCCCCTGTGCCCGCATGATGCCGGCGCCTTGCGCCGCACTTGCCTCGGGGGCAACCCCACGCGCAATCTCCCTCCGCAAGCCTTTCTCTGGCGCCGCAAGCGCCGCCCCAACCCCCTTCGCCGCGCGCCGCGCCGCGGGCGCCCACGCCGTGGCGCTGCCGCCCTTGGCGCCCCGCCGTGAGGGCGCTGCGGCGCCGACTCGCGGGCCCGCCGCCTGCCGCGCACTCGGCCTGAAAACGCTCGGCGCAGGCATCTTGAACATCCTGAAGTTCTTTGGCATCAGCGCCGGCAGCGCCCAGGCCGCCGCAACCGCCGCCGCGGGCGAGGCCGCGGCGGCAGGCCAGTCGGCAGCTGTCGCTGCGGCGGG